TCCCCTGTACAACCTTCACTGGAAACAATATTTTTAGTGAATATTTGAACATAGATTACATTTGGGCAGAGATACCTTTTTCATCTTTTTTTAAAAAATTATCTTTTCACTTGTTGACTTTTCTAAATGCAGACTGCAGTCCTTCTTAAGCTGTAAGGCTGTGAATCCTGCTCTTTTTTTTAAGCATCAATTCAGCAGTTAGAAGGATTTTTTAAAAAAATTTGAAGCAGTTATCTCCCTAAAAGGATGTAGACAGAATGAACAGTGCAGAGAATTTGTATACTGTGTTAAAGTACTTTCAATGCTTCAGACACTATCTTGTGTGGATACAAGGAAGAATAAGGCAGGTTACTTAAATTTTAGTATTCTTAGACTAGTCAGGTAACAGACAAGCCAATAACATCATACTCAAATCACCATGCATGTCCAGAGGAGCATAGAGGTGGGACATTTTGTCTTACCTTGGGGGATTGGGAGGAGGCAGGAAAAAGTCACCTAAAGTAGCTGACATGTGATCTATTTCTTGAAGGCTGACTAGGGTGGAGGAGAACATCCCAAGCAGACAGAACTGCCCGTCAGATAGATGGTTTAGTCTATGATTGCTTTTTTTCTGCAGTCAGAACTTGGAGAGCAAAGCAAATTGGGCAAGTTAGGTAGAGTTTCTCCAATTCTGCTTGATGTATGGTTTTATTATAACACATACTTGCCTTATAAAGTTTTTCAAAGTCAGTGTAACCAGTTTTGAATTTTTTTGTTTTATATTGTAGTATGAGATTTGGAATTAACTATACTGTGTATTTCATATTTACATAAGGCACAACCTGCCAAGGTAGTTTTTTAATTATCAAATTATGTCTTGTAAGTATTTTGCATAGTGTAGAATTCATTTGAGTTAAGTTTGACTGGTTCTATTGCTGCTTTAAAATGTAAGGATATTTTATGATTTCATAGAAGGAAATTTTTAGAATCGATAACCCACTCATTTTAGCTAATCTCATTTAGTTAAGCCATTTCTCTTGAAGTTGTAACCCGTTATATAATTTCATGCACATTTCTTCCTACATATATTTACTTGACTCTTTCAGGTCTATAATACTGCCACTTTCTGGCAAAGGTATAATGAGCGTAATTTTAAATTCTTCATGAGATACAAGTTGTTGTTCGTTGTTCAGTCACTAAGTCATCTCTGACTCTTTGCAACCCCATGGACTACAGCACACTAGATTTCCCTGTTCTTCAACATGTCCCAGAGTTTGCTCAAACTCATGTCCATTGAGTCAGTGATGCTGTCTAACCATTTCATCCTCTGTCACCCCCTTTTCCGCCTGTCCTCAGTCTTTCCCAGCATTAGGGTCTATTCCAATGAGTCAGCTCTTTGCATCTGGTGGCCAAGCTTTGGAGCTTCAGCTTCAGCATCAGTCCTTCCAATGAACATGCAGGGTGAATTTCCTTTTAGGATTGACTGGTTTGATCTTGCAGTCCAAGGGACTCTCAAGAGTCTTCTCCAGCACCGCAGTTCGAAAGCATCAATTCTTCAGCACTCAGCCTTCTTTATGGTCCAGCTCTCACATCCATGCATGATTACTGGAAAAACCATAGCTTTAACTAAACAGACCTTTGTTGGCAAAGTGATATCTTTGCTTTTTAATGTGCTGTCTAGGTCTGTCATAGCTTTTCTTCCAAGGAGCAAGCGTCTTTTTTTTTTTTTTGAGCAAGCGTCTTTTAATTTCATGTCTTCAGTCACCATCCACAGTGATTTTGGAGCCCAAGAAAATAAAATCTGTCACCACTTCCACGTGTTTCCCTTCTGTTTGCCATGAAGTGATGGGACCAGATGCCACGACCTTAGTTTTTTTGAATGTTGAGTTTTAAGCCAGCGTTTGCATTCTCCTCCTTCACCCTCATCAAGAGGCTCTTTAGTTCCTCTAAACATTCTGCTATTGGAGTGCTTGTCAATTAATAACTAATAGATTATTGCCTAGTTCTATTGATAGTTTAGTGTCATAGCTCTTGAAATTACTTTAGTCAGCCAAGATAAAACTGTTCTAGCACACATCTAATATACTGTTTCTAAAATGAATGAATATGTATATAGAGAAGGAGGGAGTTTGAACTTCTTAGAGAAAGCAGGATAGGGAATCTTATTTTAGATTACAAAAGACAACACCAAAGCAATCTTAATTTTCTAAAAAAAAAAAAAAATCTGATTTTGTTTCATAAAATTTGACCTTTAATTATGCTCCTGCTAAAATTATTGCCTGAGAAAGTGTGCACATATGATTTGATTCAAGATATTTTTGGAACACTTCTTAAACTGACCATTAAAGCATATTAAATCATCATTAAATCCAGACATTTCTTTCTTCACTCTCTTTACTTTCCTTAATAGAAATAGTGTATTAGTTTTCTATTGCTTCTGTAACAATTTACCATAAATTAAAACAATACAAGTATATTATCATACAGTTCTTGGGGTCAGAAGTTCAGTTTGCATGTCACCAGACTAAACTCAAGGTATTGGACAGGCTAGTCCTTTCTGGAGTCTCTAGGGAGTGAATCCAGTTACTGCTTCTTTGAGTTGTTGACAGAAACCACTTCCTTCAAGAGTAGGACCTAGGTCTTATTTTCTTATTGACTCTAAACTGAGATTTATCCTGCCTTTTAAAGATTACCTCACTTCCTGGCTCATCGTTTCCTTCTTGCATCTTCAAAACTGGCAATAACCTGTTAAGGCCTTCTCACTTTGCATCTTTGTGACATACTGTTCTTCTGTAATTTTTTACTTATAAGGATTTATATGATTAAATTGGATCCACTTAGATAATCCGGATAATCTCCCCCATCTTGGGTTCTTAACATTAATCGTATCAACACAGTCCCCTTTGCCATCCTGTAATGTATTTCAAATCCTGAAAGATGATGCTGTAAAAGTGCTGCACTCAATATGCCAGCAAATTTGGAAAACTCAGCAGTGGCCACCGGACTAGAAAAGGTCAGTTTTCATTACAATTTCAAAGAAAGGCAATCCCAAAGAATGCTCAAATTACGGCACAATTGCACTCATCTCACATGCTAGTAAAGTAATGCTCAAAATTCTCCAAACCTGGCTTCAGCAATACGTGAACTGTGAACTTCCAGATGTTCAAACTGGTTACTCATTATTAGAGAAATGCAAATCAAAACCACAATGAGGTACCATTACACACCATTCAGGATGGCTGCTATCCAAAAGTCTACAAGCAATAAATGCTGGAGAGGGTGTGGCGAAAAGGGAACCCTCTTACACTGTTGGTGGGAATGCAAATTAGTACAGCCACTATGGAAAACAGTGTGGAGATTTCTTAAAAAGCTGGAAATAGAACTGCCATATGACCCAGCAATCCCACTTCTGGGCATACAC